CAGGATATGGGTCACACATGGTAGCCTAGCCACCGTCTGCCTTCCTGGACAACGGTCAATGTTAGCCTTAACATATGTGTAAAACTTGGGCACTGCACCGTGGTAGTAAGTAATTCCATATTAGTTTGTGTTTTAGATTTAACACACAGTCAGTAAAACAGTATTATTTACTGGTTGACGAGGTTCCGAATACAATTTATTACTGTTCACAATCATATCAATTATAATCACATGACTTCGAAATTTGAGTTTTATAGTTTTCTTTGTTCTCTCCTGTTTGTTGTAGGGATAATAGAATTTTCCAGATATCTGGGACAGGTGTTGAATGCAATTACACACAACCCCATAATAGGATGGGATAGGATGATAGTTTTAAAATCTAATTTAACAGGGTGGAGGGAGAGATTGATAACAGAAGCTTTGTTTATCGAATTAACTGCAAACACGTGTGGTAGGAATGATTCAGCACCTGTCCAGTCGGATACCTGGAAAATTCTACTACCCCACCGAAAACAAATAGGAAATGACAAAGAAAACTATAAAACGGAAGTTTCGAAGTCGTGTGATTATAATTTATGCAGTGATGCTGAACAGTAATTGTGTTCGAAGCGTCATCTAGTTAATAATACTGTTTCACTATGTGGTATATCCAATAAACAAACTAATATGGGCTAATGTTAGCCGTTGAGATAGGATGGATCAGGTTGGAGACGTGGTAATGATGGTCAAACTAAAACATGGCTTCATTAGTCAATTAAATCCATAACAGTTAGTTACGGCCAGCCAGCCAGCCAATTGGACAGGTGTAGATTGACTTCCTGACTGACTTGTTGGGTCCTTGGGATGGTAAGAACCAATGACGACTGGAGATATTTAGTGGGCGATATAGCTCAAAGTCGTCGTTGTGAATAGCTGACGCAGATGCATTCACTCTTTTCGATTTACAATATCTATTAAAAGTATACTGTTTTTCTATACTGCTAATCTTTTTGCCTGATATTTCTGTTTATTATCTCTGTTTTGATTCTCTCTTTACCCTCGTCTGCTGCTTTTTGTGGTACATTGAGGAAGAGTGGCAACTGGAACTGGTGCACTCCAGTCAGTCAGTCAGTCATGTCTTGATTTGACTATTCGTCGCCATCTTCCAGTCTTTGCTCTCTTCACTTGATATTGTGCGTCAAAGTATGTGACGGGTAGATATGTCAATCACTTTTCAGATTACTTCAACCGATTAAGGCTTATTAGTATTATTATCGCTAGTGCGTCGGTGGCACAACGGTAGAATGCTCACCGACCATGCTTCATGTGGTTCGGAGTTTGATCCCACACTGACGCATTTCCTTACCTCGCTAGGTCAGTAATAAGACTGGGAAAGAGGGAAGGTTGGGTATCAGGCCAGTAACCCCATTCCTTAAAATTAAACACCACTGCTACCGAAACTTCTATCCTTTAGCTTGAAGCCCCTTATGTTCCACTGGGAACGTAAAGGAATAAAAAAAGGTATTATCATTGTTATTGAAACACAAACTTGGTTTATATTACGGGCACCAAGGGATGCACCACACAAAATTTCATAGTTTTTGCGAGAGCTTGAATACTATTGGACTCCTAGACCGAAACAGGTGTTCGTCTTTTTAGGGATACCTGTCTCCGAGTCTTTGAATTTAGATCTGATCCACAAGCTAGTGGGGCATCATGAGAAGCTGAGTTACCATGGTTTCCGGTGGAAAAAACATATTCATACACCATCCTATTCCTTCGGATTCTACAGCCTATTTGCACCATAGATTTACGAACAAGTTTTTCCAGCTTCTCTGGTTGTACATGCCAGACGTTTGCATTTACTTTCTCAATTTTGTGAGGAGCACCCTTACTGCATGAAAATGGTGACTAGGACTTACCTGAATGTGGCTGTTAACGCGTGGCTACATGAAAGCATTTTGGGAGGAGGGGAAGACCGAAATCTCCCCATCCTTGGCTATATCAGATTGTTTATAGAAGGTTTGGGTGGGCATGGAGGTTTTTGTATCCATCACTTGTCTTACTTGTTCCACTTAAGAATTTTACCGTTAAACCCAACACATTACTTACCGCATAGTTACATCACACACAGGCGACGCCATTATGTAGAAATACATGACACTCATCTATACATGTGCTTTGTAAACGACCGCCTATAAAGTAGTATAATATCGAGAACTTTGGCTCATTGACCTAGGAGTTGGACTGTCGAACAGAGTTGCATGGGTTTGAATCCCGCCCTACGTATTTAGGTTGGCACATACAGGTTTTGTCACTAGCCAGCTGCACAGAACTGTAAGCGGTGGTCAATCAACGCTTCCCTTCTAACGCTTTTTCGTTTTCGTGAAGGTCATACTGAGTTGTAAATTGTCTAAAATTGTATATTTGAATAGGATGTGAAATGGTGTTCAGCAAGCACTCACAAGCTACACACTGGTTGAAGTCTGATCTTACCACCGTGGTTGCTGGAAAGATGTTCGAACTCATGACCCACTGGCGGAAATTGAGAACTATATCTGTCGATTCGATTCCATGGAATCTACTTATTTCAGCTCCCAAGAATTAGTTTGTAGTGAATCCATTTGTTCCAGGTCAGACCACGGATTGATATCAGTTAGAGAACCATTGAAAACCAATAAGAAGTACTAGATAGCTGTTTCGTTATTGTTCAGGACTCATCGGCAGTACGCGCCCATGGGGTTTCGAACGCAGGACATCAGTTCCCAGTAGCTGAATAGTATACGAGCTCGCCATGTAACTAGAAAGTCCCAAACGGGGACGAAACAGCTGCCCAGTACCCCTTACTGGTTTCAATGGTTCTCTAACTGATATCAATCAATACTTCTGTGTTAATTTTCCCTGTAATCTCTTCTCCAATTATGATTTTCTGTAACACTGAATCTTTCACGAATCGACACACTAGTTGGAGAACCTTTGGAAACCAAGGAGTACTAGGCGTCTATTTCTCCCTATTTTTGGAGTCGTTGGCACTATTTACCGATGAACTCCATGAAAGATATCTGGTTATATATAATTCAGTGGCCATATAATTCCGACTGTGAGTAGTAGAAGGGTAACATGACTAACTCGTTAACTAAGTGTCTCGGCCTTGATCCCTCCCTGATGGGGTGGTTGTGTGTGCCCACCGCTGAACAGTTAATCCCAAAGTAGAATTAATGTTTCTGCAGGAGATATCAGTTAGTGATGAAAACTCTATTTAGAAAACAGAAAGATTGAGCGAAGAAATATTCACTTTTCAATTAGATCCTCATCTCTCTCTTTTTCTCGGGCTCTACTCTAATGTATTACGTATAGCATTTTTATTACAATACACAACAATTTACCAATCATCAGGTGGCACTGATATGTTTGTTAACAATGATTAGTCAGTGTCAATATGTCAAGCCAATGGGGTGATAATTAACGAAGGAAATTAATACACACAATTAAAAGGTAGAAATAGTTACAACACGTGGATTGCATAATGCATAATGTCGGAAAAAATGAAGAGTAATTAAAGTATAAGCGTGTGCACAGATTGATTACGTAGAACCAGAGAGAGATGAGGATCTCAATATTTTTGTTTTCTAAATGTGTTAATGGGGATTTTTTCTATTTAAAGCAATTAGTTTCCTTTGTGAATTTAGATAAAGCAATAAGAAGACGTAATTTGTCTGAATCGTGTAATGTATTTACGAACAATCTGATCCAGCACACACGGATTTTTCATAGGAATATATACGAATGACATATTGAAGGTCAAAATTGCAATGAAGACCACTAAACCAAATAACAAAGGTGATAGTACATCTGCCGTGGTATGTATCAAAACAACGTTTACCAAGGAAGGTGGTTGTTTAGTGTGATGACGAATTGTTTCTTTGAACGCAAAAAGGTGGTTTAAACTTTCAAATTGCTAGCTAGGGCTTCTACAAACTTTAGGATACGCCCAAAACACGTTTTATAGATAGGTTTAAAAGATTTGTTAACGCCAATTTTATGTCCTGTCTCCTCTGTAATATGTTTCGCAATAGAAGAGCTAGGTCTTCTGTTCTCACCATTAATGCGTTCTGAAGATTCTATTTGTTTCTGGAGCCATTTAGGAATGTGCTCTGAAGCCAGCGCTTACTTGCGGAGATCGATGAGTCTTCCCTATGTATGTGTGTCCACACGTACATTCACATTGGTAAATACAAAAACAGACTTTTATGCAGCTAATATCTTAATAATTGAGAATGTGAAGTCAATGTATCCATCCATCTAAGCCCTGTGAACATGTGAAAAATAATGTACGTGTGGACGCACATACATAGGGAAGACTCACCGATCTCTGCAAGTAAGGTCTGGCTTCAGAGCATATTCCTAAATGGCTCCAAAACAAACGGAATCTTCACAACCCATTAATAGTGAGAACAGGAGACCTAGCTCCTCTATTGCGAAACATATTACAGAGGAGACAGGACATAAAATTGACGTTAACAGATCTTTTAAACCTATCCATCCATGAAACGTATTTGGGGCGTATCCTAAAGTTTGTAGAAGCCCTAGAAAGTTTAGAAAGTTTAAACCACCTTTTTGTGTTCAAAGAAACAATTCGTCATCACACTAAACAACCACCTTCCTTGGTAAACGTTGTTTTGATACATACCACGGCAGATGTACTATCACCTTTGTTATTTGGTTTAGTGGTTTTGATCGTTATTTTGACCTTCAATATGTCCTCCTTTTAACTTGACCTAAGTGTCTATTTTCTCACCTCTTAACTCTTTATTAATTTCATATATGTATTCCTATGACAATTCCGTGTGTGATCAGATTCTTCGAAATGTGTTGCGCAAATACATACAATACACGATTTTTTCTATATTGAAAATTCTATTGAAATACTTTTGTATTTTTTTTTAAAATTTAAGTTTATTTAATAACTATTTTTAATCTATGTCTTATCGTCAGAGTATTATTTCCTTTTCTTCTTTCAGATTTGAATCAAGCCTTTCTCGATTATGCTGAATCATTGAATGACTTTTCAGCTTATGCACATGAATCCACGTGTATTTCACAGACAACAGAAAATGGTACCTATTGTCTACTTCTTCTATAATCCTTCTAGAACTGTGTGAAACTGATGATGATAGAACAATTAAAAATGCGCTATCTGTCTATGCAACCATCATTAAAAATGTTGAAGAAGCTAGACGGACAATGATTGTAAGTGATAGTCGGATTTGTTTGTTTGCTTGCTTGTTTTGACTGTTGTATGCCAGCAACTGTTGTTTTTTCTTTTTTAAAAAATTGTTTCTGGAAGTGAGAGATATATGTGTAGAGGAACTGCATAACAATTCTTTTTCCAGATCACTAGTGTTTTCGTCTATGTTTTGTACTTTGAATTTTAATGATTTACACAGGAAGTTTTATATATCATTATAATTTCAACTGACATAAGATTCCAATGGTGCAGAATGAGTGGTAATCAAATAGTAAGATGGCAATAATTCATGAGTTGGTCCACTGTTGATTTAAGCCAGTTCGGAGGGTGTAGACTGTTTGGCTCGCCGGGGTCGTCGAAACTCTAAGAACCAATGGCTTGAGACTATCATACATTTAGTTCTTCGTCTGGTGCTAAGTGATATAAGTATAAAACTTGGGCACTGTGGTAGAGTATAACTCCATTATGGATAAGATTTTATTTATTTAATTAACGTCATCAGTTAATATTACTGTATAACACTGTGTGACTAATCAAAATAAAATCTTATCCATAATGGTGCTAAGTGAATTTTATCAATCAAGCTTACAATGTGGCTATCATGATATGTGACTTGCTATCACGATACACTCTGAGTTGTTTTTGATATCAAATAAACAGAAAGCTAGTAGTTCAGCGAAGAGTCTCTTTTCGGCGGCGAATTCATTTTCATAGCTGTACAACCGCAAATATATATGGTTGTTTTGTATATATGTGTGTACGTTAAACTTGACAAACGAAAATACAATTAGTAAGCTCAGATAAATTGGATGTTGATATCAGAGGATAGTAACAAAAGTGATGAGTTGTCACAAACGATTGTTAAAGAAGAGTTACATAATAACATGAATAGTTTGATGAAAGAGTTGTGCTCAGGGTGTACACGGAAACAGAATAACAAACGGAATTACGCAGGAGTTTTAAGTAGTTAGAAAAATAAGCATACAAGCAGAAGTTAAGTCAATGGAGTTGGTACTATGATAGTAGAAGTAGTTGAATAATTTTCTTTTGTATGCATAGTTCTGGTTCTTCCAACTGAATGGTTAGGGCTTCTGCAATGCAAAGAAGACGGAAACGTATTGTCTTTGGCAGGTTGTTCTTCACTCTGTAGATTACTTAGAAGCAGGAGGCGTTTGTTGAGACGGAATGACCAGTGTTGACGAGATGTTCGATTGTTGCACTCCTTATACCGCCACTGCTTCCTTTCTGCAGCCACGCTGGGTAGTGTTCTTTGACCCTTTTTGACAGGATACGCGTTGAACGACCTATGTACCTGACTGGCTCCACAGCAACAGGTGAACTGAGATATACGCATAGAAGTGATCAGGTGCATGATCTTGTTCTTTGGGCTTCTGCAGATCAGCGGGTGACTGGAGAACACTACTCTCAATGTTGCTGCAGAGGAAGTTCTTCTTAGAGAAGTGGAAATTCTCCTCCTAAGGACATCACTGAGTAGGTCATCTATGAAGTCAAGGTTCATATAAAGTATCTTTTTTGGCACGGATGACATCCCTTGCTTTCGGATTTTATATTTGATGTTTTTGTCTACGAATCTTGATGGACAACCATTTTAAAGCAAGCAATGAAGGTTAATAAAGCAGGACTTAATGAATTCATCGAATTTTGGTAGAACTCGTCAGCTGAATACTCTACATACACGGATATATATATATACTTTTGAAATTACATTGGGAGATATATAAGACTGATAAGTAAACAAACTATATTGAATTAGTCATGCAGAAAGACAGGTGTGAATGTTTTTCCAGGTCATGTTCAATTAGATAAGGGGAGAGAGAGTATGGGAGATCAAAATTAAGATCACTTAGTGGATAACCGTTTTATATGAAGATTTCTTTCAGGAAGTGTAGTTCTTCTTCCAGGGTATCATAACTGCAGATGCGAGTAGCAAGAGATCTAATTAGGTTCCTTTTTCGACTGATTGGTATCCAGCTGTAGAAGCTCGTCAGTTGGCCGTTCCATTTGAGTTTCCTAAGGATGGACCTTCATAAAGTTCCGTTAGCTCTCCTTGTAAGTTCAACATCAAGACAAGGAATTTTAGATTCGTTTTCAATTTCAAGAGTGAACTTTGCAGCTGAATGGCATTTGTTGAATATTTCTAGTAATTGATTAAGATCGTGACCATCATCACAGATAATAAAGATGTCGTCCACATATCTAGCATACAACTGAAAATCGTCAGTAGTTGATTTGAGTAGACCGTTCTCGAGGTTGGAGGCAATTGACAGGAAGCCTTGCATCTAGATTCCGTGCATGCTGGGATACACCCGTCAGTAAGACGTATGCGAAATCTTAAAGGTACTCATGCCCCTCCTAAGATTTGAACTCGAGTCGTCCAGTGTGTTAATCAGAGACGTTATCACTGAACTTCTGGGATTCCTATAGAACTGTTATGGATGCCTCACTTCAATATTACTCACCCTATTATGCGCACGACCTAACACTGGAGATAGAACAGAGACACCAGTGATCAAAGACAGTTAGCGGGATTTTTCACATCTTACGATTTGAATGGCCATTTCTCACTCATAGCCAGCCATAAAGGAGGATGGATCGAACGGCTGAGCAGTAAAGTGCACACGTCGTTTGATTCATTACCAGGTGGAAATCACGTCTACTAAGCTAAAGATGGAGTAAGTTGGCGGCGAATGCCAAACGAGCCTTCTCTATCCATTCTGATACTTCGTCAGCGATCTACCCGCTGGGACTGGCTGATACAACTTCCCAAATAAGTGAAGTGTGGTGGTCAACACACTCTAACCACTTCACTCCTGACTATCTTTAGACTGGGAGTGAGTCGATATAATCGAGTCCTGTAGGATCATCTTACATTTGACTGACAACAGAGAATCGCATAACAAACATTCGAAGATTGCTGGTCCTCAAGGTGTTGAGAAGACTCTGCATTTTTTCGGCGATTTCACCTGGGAGGGAGTAAGGACTATGTCGTCCGCACATTCATTCTAAACGATTTATATCATTCAAAAGACATTAGAATGATGGATCTTGTTGCCTGTTGACTAAATCTCAAACTTGTTCGATAAAATTATTTCTTTACCGAATAGTAAACAATATAAATATCACAAAGTAGATTTCGTCATGAACCAACATTGCTCAGGGAACTGCTGAAATAAATTGAAATCCTCAAAAGCTCAACATTTGAAAATTAATCCTTTCGACATTTTGAAATGACTGTAGAATAGAAGTCTTGCAGTTCTAATGAGAAGTTTTGCTCTGTGATGTAAGGACATATACCTGCTGTTGACATTAGGTCTTCGTGTCCCTGTGTTACAGATGGATAAGAGTTGGAATTTCATTTTATTAGCTGAACTGTAATCTGATTTCCCTCGTAACCGTAGGGTTTTAGGTTCGTCCCCTGGTGACTGTTCTAGTGCATACTACTGAACTGATGTGACGAAATTTATTATTATTATTTCCTTTAATTCCTAGAGCAACATAGGGCTTCAGTTAGCACTTCCCCATTGCGTTCGGTTCTCTGCCAACGTTTTCACCTGGCTCCACGTCTGCCCACATGCTTTCATCTCCTCTTCACATCACCTCCTCCAAGTCACCCTTGCACTGACGACCAACTCGCCGCTTCCCTTTCGGGTTCCACTCAAGCGATGGCTTGTCTAGTGATGTCACTTGATGGTTTCCTCAGAGTATGGCCAATCCATCTCCATTTCTTCCTGCCTATTTGTTGCACAATCAGTTCTTGGTTGGTTCGCTCCCAGAGATCCCTGTTGCTGATCTTTTCTGGCCATCTGATCTTGAGTATTGAGCGAAGACAACTGTTAATGAAGGTCTGTAGTTTGTTTGAGATGCTCTTTATGACGTGCAGTGCAAGTCTCTGATCCGTATAGTAGCACTGACTGACTTCACATTGGAGTTGAAAATCCGGATCTTATTTTTTCATGCTGAGTGCTATTGACCTCCAAACAGACTTGAGGGTAATGAAAGCTTGTCTTGCCTTCCCAATCCTTGCTTTGATATCCTCGTAAGATTTATTCAGTGTTCTCAAATGCACCTTTTAAAAATATAGTAATAATGACTTTTTATTGATAGGTTGGCGAAAGCAAAACTCTCGCAACTATTATAGATGGCATTCATGGGTTGCCTCTTTAGTAGGCGGTCGTTCTACGTCACTAAGTTTACTTCACAGATCTACTGAACCTACTGTACTCGGAGATGTGTAGACGTAGCTCATTAGGCCTAAGTACTCAGTGCTCTGCTATTTGGTCCTGAATTCGAGTCCCTCTCAAGTTTCTTCAACCTGGCTAACTTGGTAGTATCGTCAACCATAACACAGCATCTGTATGGTTCAAAGCCATTTCAAGGCAGTTGAATTTCATGCAACAATGTATACTTCTCAAGTGTTGATTTGTATGAACTGAAGTCAGTTGAAGAGCCATTAAAAACTTTCAGGGTGGGTACTGGAAAGTTGTTTCGTCCCAGTGTGGAACTCTTCAGCGGTACACCACTGGATTCATTCCCAGCTCACTTCTTAACTTGGAGTTCCTTGGTTTAGTCCCCGATAGGATCATGGGTACATATTACTGAAGAGTCCCAAACCGGGATGAAACACACCAGTTCAGTACACCTTGATTTTTAATTATTCTCTATCTAGTGTCATTTTGTGATCTAGCTTGAGTATACCAAAGGTAATTGTTTTATTTATTAGACACTGAGTGATTGACACTTTCAGTGAAAATAATCCCTAGTTGGAAATGATTGATTTGCTGTCAGACGTCATTATCTAATTGATCACAATGCCGCTGTGTGACATGTAGTCTCTTACTTATCAGCTGTTTAGATGATAATACAAAGATATCATCTTGATGCACGTTTTATTTTGTTTGTATGTTTGTGTGTATGTGGGTGTATTGATTTGTGTTTCAAGGTCAGTTAATTGATGTAGAATTTTAAATAAAAAAAAGGACCA